CAAGCTAGTCCTGAATAGCTAACTGAAAATGTCTACTGAAGAAAGATTTTCGTAATTGACATATGGTATTCAAATAAAGGTGCCTCCATTGGAACCCAACTCTTATACAAGTACACCCATTTTTACATCTTGACCCATCTCTTTTAAAAAAAGAGTATAAAAACTAGGTGACTCAAAACATTCCCAAACAACCGCACCCAATTCACTCAACTCCATCAAACCCAACCACTGAACCCAACAAGGAAGCATCTCCACAGAGGTCCATGTGTAGATCTCTAAAGTCCTCGAATTTTTTGTATATTCAGTTAAAATTGGGATAAAATATGGGGTCAAAACTTGAAACTTTGGAATCACAGTAGGACATTCTACGAACAGGTGATATGAAATGGTCTGCAACCTTAGAAATAGAATGACAGCAGAACTAGTGAAAGAAAAATAAACAAATATAAGAAGAAAGGAGAGGGAAACTAGTGGAAGTATTACAGGAAACTTATATTCAAATTTTTCGTATTTTTGGTTAAAATTTGAATAAAAGATGGGGTTAAAATTTGGAATCACAGTAGGACATACTACGAACGGGTGACATGAAATGCATATATCAACATCAAAATCGGTTCTTTATGTACTCATAAGATTTGAAGTTTTGGTGTATGCTCTGCAACCTTAGCAATAGGTGACAGCAGAACTAGTGAAAGAAAAATAAACATATATAAGAAGAAAGGAGAGGGAGACCAGCGAAGGGATTACATAAAGCTTAAATTCAGGACCTTGATATTTCTTTGCTATAGTTAAAACTAAATTTTAAATTAAAAGCTGAAATCCTCAAATATAAAGGCAGTGAAATACTTGTGGCGTGCAAGTCGCTCAACAATGTTGTCAACAGCAATATTTGAAGCAGCACAAGCAAGAATCTTTGATCCACGTTTAACTTCTTGCAAGATAATTTCCACCACAGTTGTAGTCTTTCCCGTGCCAGGAGGTCCATGCAGCAAAAATACATTCTTTGATGACAGGGCCTTTGAAATGGCATCTTTCTATGGAGCAAAGAAAAGAGAAAAATTAAAATACAAAAAGAAATGCAGAAGGTGCTTTAGATACTGAGAAATGAAACATGGATAAACCTTGAAATACTGTATGCATGAAAAGCAAACTTGGATTAAGATGCTCATCAAAATAAAGAGGCACAGATACACAAAACAACAACAATAGGCATGGTCCTATATCGGTCAACTAATATTCAGTACTCAAGGAAGAAATAACTTATCAGCTAATATTTGCTTAATCTCACTAAGGAGATCTAAAGGTGGAATTATTTGAACAAATAATAGCAGTTTTTTTCATAAGAATTTTATGTAATTCAAACCCTAATTGTTAATAATACACAAGAAATTGATATAAAATAGAAGAGGCTATGATATCCTCAGGACCTCTACGGAGCAATTATGTGATCCTGTACGTGATGACATTATGTGCAGTGTGCACACATGTATACAGTGATAAAAATATGCATGCATTTACATAGTCTATGTTTGTGTTTGTTGAATGCATGTTTGTGTGTGTCATTCACTGAAGCCGCTGATTCAGAAGAACACCATTAATAGAATGTGTGATATTAACTCAAAATGACACATTTTGAGTGGACCGTTATGATTCAGAAGAAAGGGGAAAAAACACAGAAAATGTTCAAAATATTAGGCTTAAGGACCTGAGAATGATCAAGGTTTTTGTTAAATGAGGTGAATGTGACATCCTTCTTGAACACTGTTGGTGTCCTCTCTCCAAATAAGACAGGAATTAAATCAGATGCGGGGCCCTTCTGCACACCTTTGCTCAATTGTATCAAGGCATCCTTCATCCTCTGATATGTCACCTGAAACAAGCAGTTAATATTTTCAGCATTTTTTCCAATGACTATTAATCTGGCAGGGAATGAGAAATAGAAGATCAGTAATGCCTACACAGACGATCGATTACTAAAAACTTTGATTGTTTCCTCATTGAGAGCAATATTATGGTAGAAACCAAATTTTAAATAACATTCCATGTCGATGATCAATATGATTTCAGGTAGGAAAGCTTTAAGAATCATATCACCATACTAACTAAACTGTAGCCTCTAAAGCAATGTGATAATTGAGGAAATTTGAGGAAATAAATCGAAGACTTAAGATTTGAATTTCATACCTCATTTCCCAGTTTCTCCAACCGTAGAGGACTATTTAAACCATCTTCAGGAACATCATCAAAAGCAACAATGATTGATGAGTCCTGTTTAAAAAGCGCCAGCAAACCACCATCACAAGTAAGCTCAAGAGCATGATCCTCAACAACTAAAAATATAATGACCAAAAATGCAAGCATCCCTGCATAGAATTACCTTTAACTGATAAACTACACCTTGTCCAAGAGCAGGGGCCCCCAGATCAGCCTTATTTTGTTTTAGAACAACCACATCATGGGTGCTAAACTGCAAATTAAAAGAAGAGAAAATAATTGGACAAACTTTGGATAGTATGGTATAATTTGTAGCTGGGATATCCTTCAATATGTTCGTTAAAATAACCACATCTAGCCTTGAAGCAATTTTCCAACTCAGTAAGAAGAGCAAACATGGCAATAAAACTCATTGAGGGCGTAGAAGCGGGAATATGGATTTCTCACCTTGTGGGGAGGAAGCACATCTGCTTTGGTGGATTGAAACTCAAGAAGACTCTTCCCCATGAGTCCTGTCTATTCTCAAAACCAAAGATATAAATAGTTATTAGAACATTTTTATTGTTCAATGCTACACATGCCAAATACAAAAACTGTTGGCTTCGACAGACTGCATTCCTTCGTAGAAAAAAAGTTTCACCGAAAGAATTCCTATCGTTACTGAAAATATCATCCGTGTACGTTTTTCTAATTATGTTTTGACAAATGCTGCAACTAACATGATCACTAGAGAAGAATCTTTAAGTAAACATTTCTCTTCAAAGAAAACTAAAGCTCTATTTGTTTAGACAAGACAGCTTCAAATTCTCTGGCAGTTAAAGCAAACCCTTATACAACCCTTATGTTGCATTGAAGCCAAAAGCAGAAGAAAATCAAGCAAAACATATTCTACAAAGCATTTTCCTAAAAAATTATTCTGTCAAAACAAACTGAACCTAAGCATTTCTTTCTCTCCTCTCTTTTCGGGTCGCCTCTGATTTTCCAAGCAATCGAATAAAGCTCGAAAGCATTAAACAGGAATCCATAGAAAAGTGGAAAGCAAATGCAACACTTGGTACCTGAGCATCAACACATTTCAAATTGAGAATGGTGGAGCCCTTCTTCTGAGCAGTGTCCAAGTTTCTGGAAGACCCAGTTATGATGGAGGCAGATATCTCAGCTTCCTGATTTCCAAATTAGGTTAGTTCCATAGAAGTCCATTTCTTTGCGGCATATTAACTGTCAATTGGAGTGCATAGAAACAAAAGCAGGAACAAAACTTAATGATTGATTGGTTAGAGAGAGAGAGAGAGAGAGAGAGAGAACCTTTTCGAGGTCGATAAGAGGGGCGGTGGTGGAGATGAACTGTTGGAGAGTGAGAGCCGGCGATTTCTGCTTCGTCTTCCCTCCCTCCATTGTCACACCTATGGCTGTTGCTGCTGCTGCTCTGCTTCTGGTGATTTAATAGATGAGAGAAAGGGTCTTAAGTCAGTGAGATAGGCACTTTTAACGAAAAGTTCGTTATTGTTGATTTTAACGGAAAATCATTTTTTTTACATTAAAAAGTTAATTCGGTATTATTTGTTTTACGTTTTATTTTACTATTATCGTTAAAACTTAAAATTTTAAAACTATTTTCATTAGTTTTCTTATTTTTTATTTTCCCATTTTCAACATTCTCTTGACCGAATTTCTTTTGGATAACTCACCAACTTCCTCTCTGTTTTCTTCTAATTGATCAGTGTCGTTTTTTATATTTACCTATGCATATCAATATCGTCTAATAAGACCTGCTATGGGGGCCTATTCATTTTTATTTACGCCAAAGTCGCTACGACTTTGGCGAACCAACTTCGAAGTCCAAAACCAAGGCCTGGACGATCATTTCATCTCTCTTCAACCTGTCCAAGGGCTTGAGCATGAGTCTCTCTACTACATAGACGATCAGAGCTCAAGAATATCTCGTCTACTTAAATGCGTACATACACATCATTCAACATATTGAAATAACTACTGCAATCATGTGAACCGCCTCAATATACAATTGAAGGTTAAGGCCAAATAACCAGTCCACCCTTGCTTTGGCTCAGCGATACGATCCAGTTTGCTCCTTCTTCAATGCCTTTAAATAGAACCAGAGGCCTTCAAGCTTGGGACTCTTGTCAAATTCAATCTATGATTACACAAAAATCTTGAATGATTCTTCAATCAACCCAATTGTTTTTCAACGCAAAGCTAATTGCTCTTCTGCAAAAACCAACTCTCAAGTCCTCAGCTACAAACTTAAAGTCTTCCTTCAAAGCAAACACTGTCTACGATCCCTGAGATTCTATTCTTATGTGAAATTGTAACTAATAAATCATTTGCAAGCATGAGATTTTATATAATTGAAACTTAGTCCTACCTAACTACATAGAACTTTATGTTCCAAAAAATTTCTCTTTTGATGGAATTAAAATATGTGAATGCTTAGAAAATTAAAACTCGAGATGTGGGACGGTTTGTTATTGATGTGTTGAAGGCTTAAACCGCCCAAATCAAATCGCACCAAACCACCAAACCGATCAATAATGGTTGTATTGATCAAAATCAAACTAAAGCAAACCGTTTTAAGTACTCGTTGGTTCGATTATATTTTTTGTGTCAAACAGAATTAATCCGAACCATATTTTTCTTTCTTTTTTTTTATTTGAAAAAACCACTACATTTTATCCATCCTTTCTGGTTAATGGATGACCCTTGCTTTATATGGGAGTAGTTTAAATGGACTGTAATTTTCAATACAAGAAATATGAACAACACAAGGATAAAGAAAAATTCCATCACATAATATGTTCCCACGGACAAATGTACACTAGAGTCTTGATATTTGTTTGTTATCTAGGGCAAATCAACATGAATCTTCACATCGACAAAAACATATGCGCCTAAAATTTAAACCTTTCAAACTAAATCCGTCACTCGAGAAAATTACACGAATAAATAACAACTATAACGGCTAACTGGTGACAACGGCATCCCATTTTCTACAACAATCTATCTTCCTCCCTACGTATATAAATCTGTCTTCCCCATAAGAATAAGCGAGGCCTACGCAGCTGGAGGTGAGTTGCCATTCAAGCACAATTGTAACTCGTTTCAAGCATACACATCCAGCTAACGATAACCTCAGATTCTTCCCGCAAAACCAGCCACAATATTGATACAAAAGATATGTCACAAGTTTTATACTACAAGACGGAAAGCAAGGGGAATACCCGATCTCCACCCTCAATCCCTGCCAATGGAAGAATGTCTCTGGGCACCAGGTGGTGCAGTTGGCCTTGGGAAGTGATAGTTCAACTGTGCACCGGCAATTTGGGGGGCTTCCACATAGGGGCTCTGTGACACCTAGTATAAAAAAGAGAAACAAGATAAAGCATTAATAATACAACAAACGTACAGGGTTTTCTACTTTCTACTTTCTCCCCACTCATCAACTCTCTGATCATTCCCCCAAAACAGGAAAAACGTAAAACATCTAGTTTCAGCTGTATTGGTCTCTCTTATGGTTCTTACTCGTGTGTTTCACATGTTTACAGTAACTTTCCTTTCTATTCGGATCATTTGAAATGTGTGATTGGAGTAACAGAATTACGTTGGTTGTTAAAAAATAAAATAAAATAAAATATTCCCATTGGAAATTTAATAAAGCCATTACCCTATTTAAGGTCAATTCACTTTCCGTTGTCATCTACGAGCAGAACTTACCAACATTTACAGTGGTTTTTACTTTTCAGGAGCATAAGCACTGGTTGTACTTGCAATCTTGAGTTTAATCAAATTGTTCTTTTTGTATTTTTGTCATTTTGTACCTCTCACAATGGTGTCAAATGAGTTGATGCTGTTTGTTTCCAGCAAGTAATACCTTGTTAGGAACCATTTATAATTAGAAAAACGCAATAAAAATGATGCAAATGTGGAATGCCTATGTTTAAGAAGTACATAACAAACGGTCATGTCCCAAAACTAGAAAATACCAAATGTCAAAAACTACGCATTCTGGACCGTCTTGAAATGCTATTTGATGAAATCCGAACAAGGATATACACATAAAATGAGTTTATCAAACGTGAAGATACCTGTGGCTCAAATGCAGTGTAAGATGGCTCGTCAAGATTTGAGGACTTTGGTGTTGTTATAGGAGACGAGGTATCATTGCTTGATTCACTTCCATTCAGTTTATGGACTCTACTATTTTGTGCAGGTTCACCATCATTCCCACCGGTTGACTTAGTTCTCTACGATAAAATGTCATAGCTTCCATATGTATTAGACAATGGAGATTACAGCAACATAAAATCATAAAATTAGGTTAAGAAAAACAATACCTGGAAGATTCTGCCAAGAGTTTTCAACCCCTTTGCCCGCGCACGGAGTTCCTCTTTCTTGGCATTGCTGTCTTGAAGAACCTAAAGATCAAATGAAAAATTACAATTGAGACCGGAATTTCATTCATGTTTTAGATAACTACCTAATAAAACAGAGGGGCAGCAACCAACCATCTGACAAACACGAGAAAGAGTGGCCTCAATATCAGCCACATTAAGCTTCCACAGGGAATCAATCATCAACTTCTTGTGAGATTGCATGTATTCTTCAAGCTCTTCCTCTGTATAATTTCCTTCTGCACTTAGCTGCTTTTTCATGTCTTCCTGCAGCTGGAGCAAAGCAATTGCACCTGAAAAAATATAAGTCCATTAACCAAAGCATATATTAGCGTAGCCAGCAAACTTGTGTGCATTTGTGAGAACGTATCCCTTACACATGTCAAAAAAACAGACAGAAAACACATGAATATTCTTTTCCTGTCAAATATTTGAATACATACGGATGAAGTGGATTGGAGACTATTAGTTTGGGTAAGATCAGTCCCCACACCCTGGTTAGGCCCATAGGTCAATTAATTATTGGAGCCAAAAGTTACAGTCACCATGATAACAAAGATTTAGGACACGACTGTCAATGACCGAATCCAGAATGATCCGCTAACCTGTTGCTGCTGTTACTTGGGATTTAATGAAATGCCCTTTATTTCTAAACCACTCTGCAACAAATGGCACGCCCAAATATATTGCTTTCTTGCCTAGCTCCTTTGCTGATTGTCTGGCATAGATGTAGCCAATCGTATTCAACATATCAACACCATAGGCTGTTGAAAATAGACAATATCATTGAAAATGATAGTGAAAATTAGATAATAATCATAGAAACAGATCCATAGGGCATTAATCAACATCTGAACTAAATGTCAATGTATTTATAGAAAGAACCAAGGAACTAAAATTGCCGATATAACTAATATTTTAGCCAATATATTACAAAAATCAAGGGAGGGGGGAAGGGTTGAACCCAAGAAGCAGTGGGTTGGAGAGGAAAGCCCATCCACCAGGGATTCAACCACTTGCTATGCAAAGTAATTATAAGTTAACCGTGTTACAAATTTATATGTTAAATGAAGCGTTATTTGTTAGTTTTGGATTTTAAAGAAATTTCAAAGATAATTTGTATGTTTTTATTTCTAGTTTTTATTATTTTCATTTTTCACCCATATTTCTGCCAATATCGATATATTTTGATATTTCTCTGCAATTCAACTACCGAAACCGATATTCAAATTCTTGGAAAGAAGAAACAATGTAGGAGCTAAAATGGCAATGCTTATGGATTGTGTTTTCAGGATCTCAAATTGTATGGTCCCAAAACCTCATCTAATTTTACACGAGCCAACTTAAAAGCAGTTGAAAATATTATATTCTTGTCAACCAAAAGCACCACATGCAACGAATTACCTGCATTGGAAAGCCTTGCAACTTCAGCTTCAGCATGACTAACAAATTCCTCTTTGTTGCCTTGCACATATTGGTTGAGTCGATTTTTTAGTGTTTCTGCAAGCTTTTCTTCTCTTTCCTTTTGAACAACCTGCAGTAAAGGGATATTGGCAATTTTGCCACACATTAAGCATTCTTTAATGATAAAGACTTGTTCATTCCAAAAAAAGAGGAGAGGTTTGTTTATCCAAATATCAAACTGATTAAAAGGAAGAAGTAGAAGATGCAGGTATCCAATTGGTGAATCCGGGGGCGAAACCCAAATTCGTGATAACAAAAGAAACAATTAACTTCATATTACCAATATATTAAATGTATGGCTCCCAATTTAATTTCAAATCAAGTTGTTCCCATCCATCAAAGAAAATTGCAGGTAAACTGGGTCAGTGAGAAAAATTAAACAAACTGTACCCGCATTTTCTCTTGCAACTTTTTGGGATCAAACTGTTCGCCTTCTGTGAAAATATCTAGGGAAGCCATTGATGCCATGGCTAGCTGTCCAATATATTCCTCGAAAAGCTCACTACCAAAAAGCATGGCGAAGATCGCTGCAGGATCAATAATTGCGTCGCTGAAATAAAAGGAACATTTTGAAAAATGTTAGAAGCACACAACTAAACACACATATTGCGATACGCACAGTAAACCCATAAGGTGTCACTGTGTCAGCCACCTTTTAGATCTTAAATTCATATATTAATGAAATAAGAGAACAAAACTAACGTTGAAATCCCTGATTTTCCATTAGCATCATACGCTTGGCGTTGGCTTGGGTCGCTTAACACTTGGTAAGCTTCTCCCAAAACCTGAATCAAATGCGAAAAAATGTATATATACTTGGTAAGCCTACACTAGATCAACGAAAGAAGTTACTAATAATTCAATTTCAAGTCCAACCCTCTTCACAAAACAACCTTCCCACATTAGACCATCATTACACATGTTGCAGAAATGATGGTATAAAGGGAGAAAAGGAGTTGTGAATCCAGTATCGAGAACTTGTAGTTTCTAAAATACAAGTTCGTGGAAGTGAATAGCAACTCTCTAATGTCGCAAATGCATTGTAGTGACCATAATTTATAATTTGATGGGCATTAATTTAAATGAAAAACAAAAGCAAGTCTTACCTGAAAATTTTGTGCTGCAAGTGGATCATTTGGGTTTTTATCTGGATGAACCTGCCTTGCCTGCAATCCAAAAAAATCAAAATACTCAATTTTATTTACATTTGTTGGAAATGCTTGTTTTTTTTTTAAAAAAGCACTTCTGCCCAGACTGAAAGCGTTTCTATTAAAACCACGTCAACAATTTTAACAAAAATGCAAGTGCTTGCTTCCTGGAAGAATCCCACAGCAGGTGCTTCTTCCAAACATTGTCAGAAACGCTTTTGATGATCTAAAAGCATTTCCAAACAGGCCCTAATATATGCAACTGATACAATTAACATCGCTAAGTGTTGTTAGCAGCATGGGTTGGATCTAGTATGCTTATTGCCTAATCGATTGTGGAAGAAGCAACTAATTACGAATCAAAACTTCCGACTAATTACCGCTAATCAAAATTAAAGCTAATATTAATAATAATAATTCTCTCAGTTTCTGCTAAAAATTAACTGACCTTCACGTAATAAGCTTTCTTGATCTCCGCCTCGGTGGCGGACGGGCTGACTCCGAGGACGTCGTAGTACTCCGTTTCCTTGACCATTTCTTCCGATCGGTCAAAATCTTCGCTTCGCAGTTTGGAGGGAGGAGCCAAAAATAATAAAAATAAAAATAAAAATAGAGAAGAAAAATAGAGGACGAGGAAGAAGAAAAGTAGGATAAGAGAAAATAATAATCGAAATAAATAAAAAGATTCCCCTTCCCACGTCCCCACGCGTAGACGCGCTATTGCCGCGTAATATTTAATTTATTTAGTACTACCACCTCCTATTCCTAAGTCATTAATTAAGTTAATTAATCTTTGTTAGGACCAAAATTTCAAAAATTAAATTGATTCGTACAAAGACCTTGGACAACTTGGCGTTGACTCTTAGCCTGCCACGTAATTAACTTACTACTTAAGTTATAAGTAAACATTGTCACTTATTACTACGATCTAACAGTTTTCACTTGTAAAGATTATGAAGCTTAACTCACTCTTCCACCTCATTAATGTAGATAAAATCGTTTATTAAAAAAAAAAAAAATTCCTCTCAAAAGATCTCAGACCAAATTAGTAGGATGAATTTTGATCGACCAGAAAAAGAGTGATAATACTCCATACGTTGAGCAAAAGAGCAATGAAGAAAATAGATGCTAAATAGTTTCCACATGTTGTAAACATAAGAGTAAATTGTAGTAATAGTCCATCAACTAAAAATTCATTACTATTAGTCTCTCAACTTATCTAAATGTGTAGCTATAGTCTTTTTCGTCAACTTCGTCAAAATGAGTTATGTTGGAATGACCATTGCTACAATTGAGGTCCCTCAACTCTTCAAAACATGTAGATATGGTTTTTTTTCTTCAACTTCGTTAGAATTTTATCAAAATGAGTTATAGTGGAATGACAATTGTTATAATTGGGTTAAAATTGAAGTATCATTTCTCTAGTTGGATTAAAGTTGAGGGATCGATGGTAATGAATTTTTAGTTGAGGGATCATAGTTGCACGTTTTGATAATTTAAGGTACCAATAGTAATGAATTTTTAATTAAGAAACCATTTCTCTAATTAAGTTAAAGTTACGAGACATTGTTAGAATTTACTCTAAACATAAATAGCAAATAGGATAAGTATTTGGTAGATCGGAAAATTGGGCAGGCCCGGCCCAGCCTCAAGAGGTCAGGACACAAGCCCTACCAAGCTCTAAATTTTTGGGCCCTACTAATTAAATGCCCGGCCCACCCTATATATATATATATAAATAAAAACTTTCACGAAAAACTTTCGATATTGTTCACTTTAAAGAAAAACTATATTTTTACACTAAAAAGTCAATCCTAGTACTATTCACTTTACCCTTTATTTTGTCCTTATCGTTAAAACTCAAAGTTTTCAAGCTATTTTTATTAGTTTTTCTTATAAAAAATGTAAAGCTCTGGCCTTGTTTTGTAGGTTTATAATGGTGCGAAAACAGCGTCGTAAAAAAACGTCATTTGAGATCCAGGTCAAGCCACAAAGTATCAAACAATCTTTTCTGTGGTTATGTTGAAACTTGTGTATATCATGTTAATGACTTTATCTTATGAGAGAATTGAACCTAAGTCAGATGAATTTTGAACCAAAGTTTTCTGCTATCACCTGTTATCTCACGTGTATACCTATTAGTATGTAAGATAATGTGAAAACATAAAACAAGTTTGTACTTTCGTCTCCGCTTATTCGGACCAGAAACGGCAGTCCCCACGCGTGCGCCGACAACTTCCGGCCAAGACGCATGTGGATCCCACAATATATCTGCCTCATACTTAATGAACAGTAAATACGTACAAGATATGAAGAAAATTAAGGTCCTTCCATTTGGACAAAATTGGCTTAAACTAGTGTGCAACGTTCAGAACACCTGGCTTTCTGTATCGAACTGGATGCTGCATATGATGAGCTTCTTGTTTGAATGACACAAGTTGTCATCATGCTTGCTTCCTCTTACCCGATGAGCTCTTCAGATACACAGCAATTATCATCTCTTCAAACTGGTTTAGCTGTAAGCAAGCATGTTTCTTCAGTTGCTTTTAAACAAACATTCTTGAGGTAACCCGAACTCCTTTTTGACATGAACATGTTGCCTCCACGGGTCATTATGCAACTTGTAATGCAAAACCTGATTAAGATGAGAGCAGGCGGTCAGCGATTCCTCTTGAAACGTTTTAGTGTTAATTTTAGAACTCGAGTAATTCCATAAATTTTTTATCAACTAACAGAAAATGTTGGAGGAGGGTGGTTTGAGTATTAAACATCTTGCTACATGGAATAGGAGGATATTTACCTGTACCAACGTTGCAAAGACATCGTCTTCAATTAGTTGAGAGAATTGAGCTGCCCACTCTGCCATACGACCAAAACTTGTTTTTTGCCTCTCAGCTTCGAGCATAATAGAATCACGATACAGAAACCTCTGCCAAATTTTCTGCACATTAGCCAGCCTGAACTTTATTTCTGTCTCATTAAACACCTGCAGAATTCAGGAGTCCAAAAATCAGTCAGCTTAATGCCCTCCAAACTTCCAGTCAGAAGCTTCTTTGAATCAATCATAAAAGTAATAATTTACCCGAAGAATATTGATCAAATTTGGAATTTCATCTTCGCTTATCCGAACAGCAAAACTTTCATAGTTGAGCACATTTTCATATGGCAGGAAAATTCCATCCTAAACATGAAGCAACAAAATATAAGAAAGACCGAATGCATGTTATCATCATTTGGTTATCATGGTTTAGAATAAAGCATCTAAACATGACCAGGAAAGATAAAAATCCTTAATAATTTGAGAACATAAATAATAAAAGCGGGTTACGCATCTCTTAATATGAGAAGATGCAAGCAATCACTATCTTACAAACATTTTAAAGTAAGTGATAAACTAACTGAATGTTCCAAGACTCCAAAAAAGGGCCAAGAAACGAATAGAAAATTAAGTACCTGAATGACAACAGGAATGCACCCTTGCAAAATACTGTCTTCCATACGACCACTCCAACCATCTCCAGGAAATACCCCGCAAAAAATAGAACTGGCTAAATCCAAGTGATAGTTTTCAGCTCGTAGTGGTGTAACAATCACATCTTCTGCATGTTGTTTTCCAAGTTTCCCTTCCTTGTTAGGACTTGACCCAAATTCTTCTGCCAGTTTCTGCCTGATACCCATGCTATAGCTGCATAAATACCCCAAAATTTTATATCAGATCTTCTGTAAGTTGTGCAATATAGTATCGGTAACTGTTGGCAAGGCACACTCTTGACAGTTGACAGGTTGTCCACAGAAAAATTAAATTCAACCACCCCACAAGTAGATAAATAAATAGCTCTTTCGTTCACTTACGAAGCTTCTGGTCTTCCATTTGGGTAAGCGGGTCCCAGATTTCCATTAAAGTAGAACAGTGTTTTCCGGCTCTCACGAGATCTGAAAATAAAGTATTGAAATGCCATTGATTAGTTATCATGGTTAACTTTGGGGAGTGCAAAGAAAGAAAAAATCATGGAAATATGAGTACGCTTTCCAGCAGACATGCACCTGGACCAAAGTTTTAAGCTTAAGGAGTTGACATCCGGACTTTTCCAAGCAGGAAGTACGAGATCTTTATCAGGATCAAAGCAAGGATGGTTACCCCTTTTATCAGAAGAAATCTCATTCCAGTTGTCAGCCCAATAAGCTGTTGTTGAATGCTTGTGCTTCGAGTTTGTGTTTCCCCAGTGAACCAACATCATGCTGTTCCATATCTCCTTGGGAGCATAGCAAGCACCTTCATCCCATGAAAAAAACTGCCTTCAGATATGAAGACGACATCATCAGCATGTACTCTTTATAAAATGATCGAAACTACGACAAGAAGAAAAATCTCATTCTGTTCAATTTTTCTCCACACTGGCCTTTAGTAATTCTCTCAGTTACATCATACCCAAATATGGTCTCTTCCAGATGAGCGGTTCCAGAAGGGATACTGTTCAACGATGTGATCGTAAGCCTTCCTATAATATTCCAGAGTGAGAGAGCTCCTCAAGCCCTTGTGTTCCTAAAGGTTTCAATAAGCACATAAGAACAAAAGCCAAATCCGAAAGCATTGACTTGGCAAACCCAGACGTGAAATTGCAATTTCACAAATGTATTAATAGTACAAAAAGCATACCTTCATGGTCAAATGAGGAGCATCGTCAGCACGAGTTATAATGCATGAATCAAGAACAGGAACAAAGAAGAAATCTGCTTCATCACCATTTAATGTACGATGCGGACTAGCTAATATACTTTCATAAAGTGCCATCTGCAAACAAGCAACAAGACTGATGAAAAATCCTAAATATGCTTCAAATTTACAAGTCGACTACAAGTTTCAGTTCAATTAATACCTGTGCACCATACAGCTGATCTGTCCACAATGTTGAATTTTGGTCATCATAGATTCTGTTTACACACTCTAACCTAAAGTGACGCCCCTGCAACAGGAAATCGAGAAAAAATAAGAACATTGCTTTGAGGATGAATCAAACAATCACAGTTTTAAGCAAATTCTGACCTCAAGAAGTAGGCTGTTGAAATCTGGGGGCAAGTCATAAACATATATAAGAGGCCTTTTCTTTTTCACCACAGCATTGAGGTTGTCAACTTTCCCTGGAAGATGCGAGCTATCAGGAATATCAACCTGAGCAGGCCGAAGCCATTGAGGCCACTCTCTAACTGATGATGCAACAGATGGAATGCTGCAATCAGTTCCATACCAGCCACTGTTACACTGGAAACTACACTCAGTTTAGGCAGTACATATTGACAAAGAGCAAATATTATGATAGTCCACATCTATCGATGAATTAAAGGGAACTTGCAAGGGACAAGGTGCAAAAATTTTGAAAATCAGTGTCAGCAAAATACTTCAACTAGTTTCTCGTTTGAGTGCCTGCACAACACAAAAACCACACACCCGTCCCCGGTTCTTGTATCAAGCCTATAGGCTATAGTTTGGTTTCATAAGCTGGTAGCATCTTAACCCTAAAATTGTTGGTCCTCATTGTCCACTACCACGTGTATATGATAACAAGAAGGCACTCAAACAAACAACACTTAGCATTCATGCATAATAAACCAATTGTTACCTGACAAAA